AACACACCCTCCGTTCCCCTTTTTTAAATAGAGGGACCACCACCCCAGTCTGCCAATCCAGAGGAACTGCCCCTGATGTCCATGCGATGTTGCAGAGCCGCGTTAACCAAAACAGCCTCACAGCATCCAGAGTCCTAAGGTACCAGGGCAAATCTCATCCAACCCTTGAGCCTTGCCACCGAGGAGCTTTTTAACCACCTCAGTGACTTCAGCAACAGAGATGGGAGGACCAAAGCCGAAGCCCCCAGGCTCTGCTTCCTCAATGGAAGACATGTTGGTGGGATTAAGGAGGTCTTTGAAGTACTTCACCCACTGACATACAACGTCCCGAGTCGAGGTCAGCAGCACACCACCCCCACTATAAATGGTGTTTGTACTGCACTGCTTCCCCCTCCTGAGACGCCAGATCATGGACCAGAATCGCTTCGAAGCCATACGGAAGTCTTTCTCCATGGCCTCTCCGAACCTTTCCCACGTCCAAGTTTTTGCCTCTGCAACCAGCCGAGTCACCTGCCACTTTGACTGCCGGAACATATCAGCTGCTTCTGGAGTCCCGCAGGTCAATAAAGCCCAATAGGACTCCTCATTCAGCTTGACAGCTTACCTCACTGCTGGTGTCCACCAGCGTGTTCGAGGGTTGCCGCCGCGACATGCATCAACACCCTTGCAGCCACAGCTCCGACTAGCCGCCTCAACAATAGAGGCACGGCACATGGTCCACTCAGACTCAATGTCCCCCACTTCCCTCGGAACATGTTCAAAGCTCTGCCGGAGATGGGTGTTAAAGCTCTTTCTCACAGGGGAATCTGCCAGATGTTCCCAGAAAACCCTCACAATACGTTTGGGCCTAACAGGTCTGACCGGTGTCCTCCCCCACCATCGGAGCCAACTCACCACCAGGTAGTGGTCGGTGGAGAGCTCCGCCCCTCTCTTCACCCGAGTGTCCACTGCGGCCGCAGATCAGATGAAAGAACAACAAAGTCGATAATTGAACTACGGCCTAGGGTGTCCTGGTGTCAAGAGCACATATCGACACTCTTATGCTTGAACATGGTGTTCGTTATGGACAATCCATGACGATCACAGAAGTCCAACAACAGAACACCACTCCAGTTTAGGTCAGGTGGGCCATTCCTCCAACCACGCCTTCCCAGATCTCACTGCCATTGCCCACATGAGCAGTGAAGTCCCCCAGAAGAACAAGGGAGTCCCCAGGAGGGGCACTCTCCAGTAGCCCCTCTAAAGACTCCAAAAAGGGTGGGTAATCTGAACTGCTGTTTGGCGCATAAGCACAAACAACAGTCAGAACCCGTCCCCCCACACGTATGTGGAGGGAGGCAACCCTCTCCTTCACCGGGGTGAACCCCAACGCACAGGCATCAAGATGAGGGGCAACAGAAATGCCCACTTCTGCTCGGCGCCTCTCACCAGGGGCAACTCCAGAGTGGAAGAATGTCCAGCCCCTCTCAAGGAGACTGGTTCCAGAGCCAGAGCAATGCGTCGAGATAAGTCTAACTATCTCTAGTTGGAACCTTTCAAGCTCGTGCACCAACTCAAGAGTCAGTCCCAAGAGCCAGCTTCTTCAGCCAAGGGTCAGAATGCCAAGGTCCTTGCTCTCAACTGCCACCCATGAAACAATGCACCCGACCCCTTTTGCCCCTCCTACAGGTGGTGAGCCAATTGGAGGGAGGACCCATGTTTCCTCTTCGGGTTGTGCCCGGCCAGGCTCCATGGGTAAAAGCCCGGCCACCAGGGGCTCACCAGCATGCCCCACCTCTAGGCCTGGCTCCAGAGTGGGGCCCCAGTGACCCACGTCCAGGCGAGGGAACACTATGTCCGTTTGCATTATTCATTATAGGGGTTTTTGGGCTGCTCTTTGTCTGGCCCCTCACCTAGGACCTGTCTGACCCAAGGCAGACAGGGTCACCAGTTTTCTATCTAAGGAAAACCAGTTGATTGCATCAACTTTTTACTCTTCAGCAATCCCTCACACTAACAATGCTTGTAGCAAGAGTGGAGAGGAAAAACTCCCTTTGAACAGGAAGAAACCTCCAGCAGAACCAGACTCAGTGTGAGCGGCCATCTGCTGAGGCCGACTGGAGTTCAAGGAGACAGAAGCAGACATAGTGAAAGAAGCATAGATACAAAAGGCAACTGTCAACCAGCTCCACAGGCGGCCCCGTCCAGGAAACACACATCCGGGAAGATGAGCTCCAAGCCAGCTCCCAGGACTACACTGAAAAACAGGCCAAGCTCCAACATCTAGAAACAAAGGTGTTGATGGCAGCAGCACAGCTGTGACTCCAGGGTGGAGTCACACCCAAACAGGAACAGACCAGATGAAGCTACTATGAAAAAAAGCAGAGGGAGCAGAACGTTAGAGATTGAACTAACAGATTCTGCAGAGTGGGAGAATAGAGATAGAATGAAGCAGAATGATGAAATAG